TTCTACAGCTAACTTATAAAAGCTAGGTAATAATAAAAAGTAGATAATTATTAAGCATATACTTAAGCTATATGCGCAAGGATTTTCCTCTTAGCTAGCAGCTATAGCTAATATAGCTAATTCTTTACACGCTAAGCATAATCTAGGCTATGTTAGCATAAACTAGCTTAGTATGTTTATAAAGCGTTATCTAAAACTTAAGGTAAATTTTTAGATATAAGTATAGTTAGTAGATATTTAGCCTATTATAAAGCCTATCTTGTTAAAGCTATATATGTTATTATTCTAGATGCTATACTTAGCTTTAATATTCTCTATAAAGCTAAACTAGCTCTAATTACTCTAAGATTCTTATAAAAAACTCTTTTATAGTTATACTTACACTTAAACTTTACTTTAAGCTTTAGATAACACTTTATAAACATACTAGGCTAGTTTATGCTAAGATAGCCTAGATTATGCTTAGTGTGTAAAGAATTAGCTATATTAGCTATAGCTGCTAGCTAAGAGGAAAATCCTTGCGCATATAGCTTAAGTATATGCTTAATAATTATCTACTTTTTATTATTACCTAGCTTTTATAAGTTAGCTGTAGAATTAGCTTATAAAGGTTGTCTAGCGCATTAGTTGTTTATTATTTTTTAAGAGACTCTGTATATAGCTGTAGTATATTACTTTAAAAGCGTTATATTTATTTAAAGCCTAGAGTGTAAGCTATATCTTATGTTTTTTTAGCGTGTCTAAGTAGTGTTGTTAGAAATGCATTAGTGTAGAAAGAGTAGTTTAGTAGGGTCTTAGTAAAGTAAGTAACTTAGATGTGTAAGCAACTTGCCTGTAAAGTACGTTAAGTATAACTATAAAAGATCCTAATATAAGAATCTTATAGTTATAAAATACTACAACAGTTTATAAATAATCTATAAAAGCAGAGCTTACTTAGAGTAATAGATAGCGCATTAAGATAGGTTGTTTAGGTTAAAGAATAGTCGCAGCATAATGCTTAGTAAAGTAGTATTAGATAGATAATAGACGTATAATAACAACATTTAACTACAGCACACAACTAATTACAGCCTACAACTAAGCGTGGCTAATACTAATCCCTAACACACTAATGTAGCTAATGCTAATCTCTAACACACTAATGTAGCTAATACTAATCCCTAACAAACTAATATAGCTAAAAGGGTAGAATAAACATAACTAACTATAATTTAAACATGCTTTATACAACTTATGCTAGAGCAAACTACGTGTAAATTAAGATAAAAGTGCACCTATATTAAGTATACATTTTTTAAAAAAAATGTAAGAAATATATAAAATAATAAAAAATAGTGTTACTAAAGATTATTTAAAAAATTGTAACTAAGTAGTGTCTTTAAAAAAAAGATTTTACTTAACTTTTTATTTTATAAACTTAAACATATTTAGTAGAGTAAGCTTTACTAATAAATTACTTTATTTTTAGTAACACTATAAAGATAATAAAATTATTACTATTTACATACTTTTTTACTTATTACAACTTTTATAGCTACTTAATATAGGTTGTGTGACTGCGTGTACCGCGTCACATGCTCTGCGGCTTTAGCTCCCTTGCTTGCGCAACAAGTAGCGCTTTAGCAGGAGGCGCACATGTATATCTTAAACTCGCAGAGCAGCTCCTCTGCTTCTTAGTTAAATCTAGTTAGGTTACACTACCTCTTGCTTGTAGCTTGAGCATTCTACTTATAATAGGTTGTTTTTCTTTTTTTTAAAAAGTATATAAGCGCTAACCTAAAAACTTTATATATAACTAAATTACGTATTATAAAATAAGCTTATAAATAAAGTAATACTTAAAAGTAAATAATAGCGCGCTAATTCTTAGCTTTAATTAAGTTAGTAAAATTCTTTTTTTTAAAAACTTAAAGCTTATATAATTTTAGAATTAGTTATTTAAAAATTAGTTTATTATTAGCTATAATTAAAAAACATGTTCTAGCTCTAGCTTTTAACATGTTTTTACTTTTATAATAGTCTTTCTTTTCTTTACACCTTGTAGTCTCTAGTGTTGCACCTGTTTCTTTTACTATCTAATACTACTACTGTCAGATTGAAGCACTGTTTCTAGGCTTCCTAAGATGAATGATGGGTTTGGATATGATGTATGGGATGATGATTGATTGTATTGATTTATCGATCATTTTTCTGCTCTACTCGTGTTGCTCGGCTTTTTGTTTTGCCGCTCCGAGTCCCTCGCGCACTTGCCCTATGCGCGACCAGCTTGCAAAATGCTGCAAAATGCAGCAATTTGCAGCAACATACTGTTCGAGCTTATTGCTCGTACTATGTAGCAGCTTTCGTCAAGCGTTCCTCCTGTCTTGACAGTAGGTGCGCATATCTGACAACTACACTACCTCTAATACTAGTACTTAATATCTTTAATTTAATTATTTTAGCATTAAATCTCTAGTTATAGAGCTGTAGATTGTGTAGTGTAAAGCTAAAATAGCGCTTATGTGTAATAGGTATATATACTATTTTATACATAAAATTAACTGTTAGTTAATTATTTACACCTTTTAAGTTGCATTAGCATAGTAGTATAAAGCTGTATTCTTTTATAATAATTAACTAACAGCATAGTATAGTTAGTGTTTAATCTCTACCTTAGTTAGCTTAGCAAGTTTTTAGACTAAAACGTGAGGTAGCCTCTTCTCGCGCTACATTGTCGCTGCTAGAAGGTCTAGTGTATATAGCTTAGCTAGTGTGGAGGGTTTTTATTTATCCCGCGCCTCTAGGCCGCAGGTGGTTAGCCTCTAGCCGGTAACCGAGTCATGCGCATAGCGCCTCTAAGCTGCGAGTAGGTTATGTGACGCCTAGGACATGCGTCTGCTTAGAAGGGGGATAATGTAAGGCTAAGATAGCGCCTACGTATAACAGGTATATATACTATTCTGTACACAAGATTAACTGTTGGTTAATTATTTGCACCTTTTTAGTTGTATTAGCGCAGCGGTACAGAGCTCTGTTCTTCTATGTAGTTTGTTGCCTCTGCAGGAATTTCTTAGAGTGCTGGGGAGCTCTAGCGCTGCCTCTGCCTCTGCCTCTGCCTCTGCCTCTCTATCGCCGCAAAGATTAATGTAGTACATGTAATACCTTAACAAGCAGGTTCTTAATTAACTTTGTAAAAAGCACACCACACTGCTTATAGCATACTGCAGCTTCTAATCACGTGCAGATTGAATTAAAGCCCTAGTTATAGAGCTACAGCTGTGTAGCTTGTTAAATCAGCAGGAATTTTTCAAGCTGTTTAGGAGCTCTAGGGCTGTCTTACTTAGCAACTAAGAAATATGTTGCTATTTAGCTGCCTCTGCCTGTCTATTGCTGCAAAGACTTTATTATAACCTACTACAGCCTCCCGCACTGCCTGCAACTATTCGCCTACTTACTTATATAGGTGATAGCCTCTAGGATAGTATTCTTTTTGCTACTGTTATAGATCCCTTAACTGTTTTGCTTGCACAACAGCTAGTTTCGCTTCTTCAACAGCCCTTTAAATATAATAGGCTGATGCCTAGAGGTGTTAGTAAGAGATTACCTAGCAGCGTTAGGAAATGCATAAAGCAAATTGCAGCAAATTGCAGCAAACTACAGTAGATTACAGCAGCAGGCAGCAATCTCTAGTAGATATTAGTTGTGTAGAAAGTAGCTCTACGTATAGAGAGGGTTCTAGAGAGGTAATGCCTCTAGAAAAAAAGCTTTAAAAAGGGTAGCAATAATTGCGCATAGGCTAGTGTTAGCAAAATAGAAAATTACTAAGCTTTAAGCAGCTAATAAGGCAGCTACATTTAGAAAGACCTATGCTTAACAGCTCTAAAGGAGTTTAGGGCGCGCAGTAACAAGAAGAAGGCAAAGAAGCAGGTGCAAGCTAAAGTAGGTAAGCTATCCTAAAGGCGCTGCAGATAATGCAATTAGACTATGCATAACGCGCAAACGTGTAATTAAGAAGTAGAAGTAGTATCTAAATAATATTCTAGGCTTTACTATACTATATAGTGCTAGAGCGGGTTGTTATAGGCTATAATAGAGTTTACTATGGTGTAGTCTTGGCAAAAGTAAGCAACTTAGGTGTGTGAGCAACTGCTAATCCCCAACACACTAATGTGGCTGATGCTAATCCCTAATACACCAATGTGGCTGATGCCAATCCCCGACACACCAATGTAGCTCTGATGCCAATTCCCGACACACTGATGTAGCTAGAGAGGTGGAACAGACCTAACTATAATTTAAACATGTTTTACACAATGCATGCTAGAGCAAACTGCGTGCAAATTAATATAAAGGTGCACTTGTATTAGGTATACATTTTTTTTTAAAAAGGAATGTAAGAAATACGTAACATGACAGAGAAATAGTGTTACTAGAGTTTATCTAAAGAAATTATAACTAACTAGCGCGTCTAAAAGAGGAGATTCTACTTAACTTTTCGTTCTGCAAACCTGAATATAATAAGCAGAGCAAGCTCTGCTACAAAAAGTAGTTTATGCTTATATATAACGCTGTTACTAAGCATAATATTACTAATTTAATTAATCAACCTAATTGATTACTAATCTAATTAATTAGGTTATTAATAACAACACTAGGAAAGCGGCGTCGTTTGGCGAGAGAAGAGCTGAGGCAGGTGTTGGAACCTATGTCAATGAATATGTTATTACGCTGAAGATGGATGAGGAGGGAAGGCTCATTGAGGAGAGATTGTAGTTTTGATACCCAGGGACTCTTTGCTTGGGTGAGTAAAATGGGACAGCAGGCGAAGGATATTTAGAATATGGTTTTGGGTGCAAAAGTTGAGAAGGCGGGTAGCGTGGAAAGCTGAGGGCGAGCACGGAGACGGATGTCGGATGGGTGCAGGGGGTTGTTGGTATTTCAAGTCATGTGATAGCTTTATTTACCAATCATTCGCGCGAATACATACAATGCGTGCCGCGAAGTTCTCGTTAGTGATGATATTCGGAGCTAATTTTGTCCGGAAGAAGGATGGTGCACCACTTGGAGCTCAGTAGATGGCGAGGTATGCGGACCCTCCGGCTGTGGTCCCTGGTTCTTCATCCTGTCTACCCCAAGAACTGCAGCCTTGGACTTGTCGCTCAGGTGGTGGGCACGGAGGAAGAAGCTGGCAATAAGCGAGAGACCGGCAACAACTACGAACTGGATAGAGAAGACTTCTGTCAGTCACAAACAGAGTGATAGATAGGTGACTGTACGTACCATTATCCACACCGACCTCAATGCATCAAAGTACGCGTCTTTGACGATGTTCATTTGGCCTACAGGCAAGGACCCAATCATCTCAACATTGGTTGCGGCGACATCCCCGTTAAATTTGCTGGCTAGTTGCTCGCCGAGTTGATCAGACAGTCTTGGGTTTACCGCGTTCATCTGATTCTGGAATATGACGCCCCCAACAACTATAGCAACAGTAGTAGCGAGAGACCTAATGAAGGTCATGGTTGCCTGAATGACAGCAGTATCCAGAACCGTCATTACAGCCTGCGCGGCAAGTAACGGTGGATCAATGTTCATGCCAACACCGGCACCCGTTATAATTTCAAAAACGACTAGCTTAGTTAAGCTTTCTTGTGGCCGCAGACTCATGAACAGTCCGGTACCTAGCGCCAACAGTCCATGTGAAAAGTACGTAATAGGGAGATATATCCCTGTTTTCTGGATGAAAGCTCCCGTACACGCTGCCGCTAGAGAGCAGGAAACAATCAGAGGGACAAGATGAACGCCCGACTCCAATGCATTAGCTCCCAGAACTGATTGTGAGTACAGCGGAAGATAGTACGAAAGGCCAATGAGGATGTAGAAATTGTATGCCCAGATCATGTAAGCGGCAATGGTGGACTTGCTGGAAAATAGTCGCATGGGAACGACAGGGTTCGTAGCAAACTTCCATTCGTTGATGACGAATATTGCAATGGTCCCAGCGCCGAATGCGATCAAGCAAATGACAGTGACGGATGACCAAGGGAAGGTGACATTCCCGAAGTCGAGACCCAGGAGGATCATTAGTGCAGCGCCGATGATGAGGGCACTACCGGTCCAGTCTATGGCCCTCAGGCCTGCTAGCATAGGGGTGTTGGGAGAAGGGAGCTTCAGGAAGCATAGTAGCACGATAAAGACGATAGTGCCGATTGGTACTGCATACACTTGTTAGTTGTTTCAAGAGCAACAAAAATGGAGCAATATTGACTCACAATTAAGCCAAAAGCACCATCTCCAGCTGAACCCATGTCAGTCTACCAAAGCGAACGAATGAGTCTACCAATGCAACTTACGTCAAGCGAGTTGTAAAAGATCCGCCAATAACAGGTCCAACAGCACACCCAACAGCCCATACAAGGGATGTAATCGCAAGATACAATCCCCGATCGCGCATTGAGAAGCTGTCGCAAATGATGACATTCGCCATGGTGCCCATGCCCGACGATCCAAGCCCTTGGATAGCTCGACCTGCAATCAGCACATCCATGTGTGGGGCCAGGGCACATATTAAGCTTCCAGCAAGGAAAATAGTAAGTGCTATCAGCATGATGGGTTTGCGACCCCAGATATCGGCGACGGAACCCCAGACGGGTGTGATTGCTGTGCTGGCAAGGATGAAGGCACTGCCAATCCAGGCATAGCTGGTAACTGAATTGAAGGAGCTCACTATTGCTGGAATAGCTGGTGTGATGATGGTGAGATCCAACGCGGATAGGAAACAGGAGAGACAGAGTGGCGCCATGATTACGGTGATGGCGGCGCCAGACAACTTCTGAACGGCCTCCTCGAGTTCGGATTCGATGAAAGGTGCAGGCTGAATTAAGGAGGAACCATCTACATTTGTGTTGTTCGTTGCTGCTCCAGGATCGTGAGTAGAATGGTTGCGGGTAACAGTTGTGATAAGTTCGGATCTTTGCTGTTGTTCGATGCTCTTCGTGTCCCCTTCTGGTAGCGATGCTTTGAGAAATGCATCACCTTGGCTGATCACCGGCGCAAATGCGTGACTAGTGCTGGGTTGAAGAGACATTGCAATGGAACGAGACCTCGACAGAGTGTTGGTTAGGGATAGGATACTTTCAGGCATCACTCGATGTAAGGATAAGCTGCGCTTACTAATATCTGGCCGAACCAATCAGTATATTGTTCACACTAGTGACGCTATTTCTCTGTCACCTTATGTATTTCTTACATTCTTTTTTCAAAAAAAAAATGTATACATAATATAAATGCACCTTTATGTTGATTTGCACGCAGTTTGCTCTAGCATGCGTTGTGTAAAAGATGTTTAAATTATGGTTAGTTGCGTCTGCTCCACCTCTCTAGTCACATCGGTGTGTCGGGGATTGGCATCAGTGCCACATTGGTGTGTCGGGGATTGGCATCAGCCACATTGGTGTGTCGGGGATTGGCGTCAGACACACCTGAGTTGCTCACTTTTGCCAAGACCACACCACAACAAACTCTATTATAGCCCATAGCAACCCGCTCTAGCACTATATAGTATTGTACAGGCTAGAATATTATTTAGATACTACTTCTACTTCTTGCTTACACGTTTGCGCGTTATGCATAGTCTAATTGCATTATCTGCAGCGCCTTTAGGATACTGTGTTTTAGCGTGTAATGCACGGCCTCGCGTAATGCACGGTTCTGCGCGAAGCTGTCAAAACTTCAACCACCTCTCTCTCAACCAATATAGGCAGTATTAAGGCCGCTTTAGAGTTGCTAAAATTGCTAAAACCTAGAGAATTACTAAATTATGCTGCAGTAGCTAGGCAGTATAGTGTTAATTAATCTACGCTCTTAAGGCGTTACTAACGCGTTACCCGCCCGCGTGCAGAGAAACTTAAAAATTAGCAACTACTTAGCCTAGTGCAGGAGAAAGAGCTAGTAGAGTACATTAATAGGCTTTGCGTAAGAGGTCTATCCCTTTTAAGACAGATAATTTAAAATTTTATAATAAAAATAGGTAGTAGGTAAGCTAGTAAAAGCTAGGTTAATTAATTTATTAAGAGGCACTCTATTAACCTATTATCTTAATAGACATCTAGCATAGACGCTGCGCGTAACAAAGCTAACTTAGCATTTAAGTACTTGCTATATTTTAAGCTTGTACATAAAAAAATTAAGTAATATAGCATAGAACTACAGCATACCTATAATATAGATAAAAAGGGCTTTCTAATTAAGGTACTGTTAAAAATAAAGCAAATCTTCTCTAAATAGCAGTATAAGCAAAGTATTAAGTAGCAGCTTATACAAAATAGTAATTGCAAGTAGATTATAACAATAGCCTGCATCTGTGCTAACAGTAGCTCTCTTATACCTACACTAATCTACTAAGCTGTTTCTAACTATATATAAGACTCTTAGCTATAGAATTTTAACTTTTTTAAGCATTAAGCTTTCTTTGCTTTATTACTTATAGGTTAAATAAATAATAAACTAGGCCTAGTATAGCTTAAACATGTGTTTAATTATAAGACTAAGGCAAAGGCGTAACAAGCGTACTAACTTTTATTTCTAGATAGCTATAGATTGCATGTTTTAATAAAGTTTATTAAGTACTACAACAACAATAAGATCCTTTTAGCTGTATACCTGCTGCATGCGACCTATACGCTGCAGCCTCTTAATGTCTGCATGTTTAAACCTCTCTTATTAGCCTACTTAGCTAAGCTAGCTAGCTTTATTAATAAATACTAGAGACTATTATTAATTAAAAAGAAAGACTTTTATAGCATGTTTAATAAGGCCTAGAAAATGTCTTTTAAGCATAAAACTATTCTTAGTGCTTTTAAAGCAACTAGTTTATTGCTATTTAAGCTGTAAGTAGTCTTAAATTAATTTTACTATAAGCAGAAGAAGCAACTATCCTCTAGTAAAAGCACTAGCTTAGCGCTTAGTGCAAAGGATTAAAAGAGGGTTAAAGGCTTTTTAGACAAGGTTGTTAGTAATTTTTATAAAAGAGACATATAAAAGCTTAAGAAGACTGTCTAGTTATTCTTAGTGCGTTGCATTCTTCTCTAGCATAAGCTTAAGCAGGTTAAAGATGCGCTAATTAATAAGAAGAAGCGCTGCTAGCGTAGCAAGCCTCTCCTACTAGAAGCACCTCTAGAATATTATAGTAGTGCAACTTTTTAGTCCCTAAATAAGGTCTAAAAAGCACGTAATTATTAGGCATAAAAAGATGCTAAAAAAAAGGCTCTATAGCTTTAAAAACAAGAGAAGGCAAAGCGCAAGAAAGTAGAGAAAGCTAAAAAAGCGCGCGCAGTTAAAGGGAAGAGGCATAGAGTAGCAATAGCAAAGAAGGCTTACCTATAAGAGCTTAAGACAAAAGCAGCTTAACAAGAGGAGGCAGAGCTTACCTAGCAGGTTAATTAACAGCTTAAAAATAACCTCTAGCAGGCAACAAAGCCTAAGCAGAAAGCTCCTACGCCTATTGCTAGTACGCTAGAGGATTTTAATAATAATGCAGCATTAAATAAAGAGAGGGAGCTAGCATTAGGCAGGACTTAACATAGCAGGCAAATTAACCTCCCTATAAGGTATTGCACGTAAATTATTGCTAGGAATAGAATTTATAGCATTTAATTAGTATTATAATAAAAAATCTATATAATCTATAATTTGTGTGAGTCTCTAGAGCTTTAAAAGTAAAAGGCGCAGATTGCTAAAATCGTGCATTACGCGAGGCCGTGCATTACGCGCTAAAACATGGTAGCTTACCTACTTTAGCTTGCACCTGCTTCTTTGCCTTCTTCTTGTTACTGCGCGCCCTAAACTCCTTTAGAGCTGTTAAACATAGGCCTTTCTAAATTATTAAGGTCTTTTCTGCTTTAATCTACTTTCTTTTATGCAATTTATATTACGTAGCAGCCTTATTAGCTGCTTAAAGCTTAGTAATTTTTTATTACACTAACACTAGCTTATGCGTAATTATTACTACCCTCTTTAAAACTTTTTTAAACGCTTTAACTATAAAAGTTAGTAAACTATTGTTGCGTTTTGCTAAAAGGTTAACCTCCTAGCTAGCACAGCAGAAGGATATATATAGACGGATAGCTGTACGCGACACACCCCCCAGCTCAAACCGTGGTATGAGAGAGGTGAAACATGGTGAAACAACCTTAACACACCCTTCCAGCCTAAGCAACAGAACTTAGAGACAGATCTAGTAAGGTAGCCTCTGTAATAGATGCACTGCCTAAATGCTTTTTACTAAGCGTAGGAATTAAACACGCAGTACTTAGGGATAATGCAATTTTATTAGTGGAGTAGGGGTGCGCAAATTTTTAAGCGCTAACTATCTACACTATGCTGCAAACTAGGCTTATAACTGTTGCGTTTTGCTAAAAGGTTAACCTTCTAGCTAGCACAGCAGAAGGATATATATAGACGGATAGCTGTACACAACAACTATTTATATACTTTTAAATTTTTATCTTTATAAGCATTAATTACAACCTAAGTTCTAGGGTATTACTTAAGGTTTATAACTGCTAGGGCTTATTATATATAAGTAGTAGTAGTAATAAAGTGCATAACTTTATATTAAGGCCTATTATAACTTAGTATAAGTTAAAAGAAACTAATCTAGGGCCTTAGAACCTTTCTTAGATATTACTAAAAGTAATTATAGCATTATAAACTACTTTAAATTATAGTAAGAACTTTATTTTTATAATATAAGTAATCTAGTTACATATAAGGTTTTTAGCTTAGCACTTATACACCTTTTTTAAAGAAGTAAAACAACCTACATTAAGTAGCTATAAAAGGTGTAATTAGTAAAAAAGTATATAAATAGTAATAATCTTATTATCTTTATAGTATTACTAGAAATAAAGTAAGTTATAGCTCTTATAGCTATTAATATCTAGCAGACAGTAGCTGCTAATAGTATACTTTTTTATATGCACATTAAAGTGCTTTAACTAGTCTAGACTAAGCTAATTAGTAGTCTAGCTGCGCTTAGAGACTATAATAACTTAATTCTAAAGTAGATTTATTTTATACTAGTTTAAAAAGTAATTACTACCCTAAAAAATAATAAAAAGTAAAATAGCCTACTCTTTAGTATTAATGCTCTAAATAGCTGTTATCTACTTTTAGTTACCTAGCTAGACTACTTTTAGCTATTCTTATCTCTCTAAACTTATAACAACTGCTTTAGTAGATATCTAGCCTATTATAAACTTTATCTTATTAAAGTTGTACATGTTATTATTCTAGATACTATACTTAGCTTTAATATTCTTTATAAAGTTAAACTAGCCTTAAATTACTATAGGATTTTTATAGAAAGCTTTTTTATAGTTATACTTACACTTAAACTTTACTTTAAGCTTTAAGTAGTGCTTAATAAACATATTAGGCTAGTTTATGCTAATATAGCCTACATTACGCTTAGTGTGCAAAGAATTAGCTATATTAGTGTTACAATCCTTGCTTCAAGAAGCACTCGGGTCTTATGATGTTCCTAGGGGAAAGTAGGACGGATAGTAGGGGCTAGTCTTGTAGGGTGTACAGTCCTACGTACAGGCTATTAGGCTAATGGAGGGAGGGAGAGTGACTAGATTATGGTTTGCCCTATGTGCAGCAGTAGGGAGGCCAGGTTAAACAGTCCTGTTAGACAGGGTTAGAGGTATATATAGTGTAAGATATATAAATAGTATTATAGCTCTTTAAAAAGCTAAATGCTACTTAGTCTATGTAAAGAATAAACTAAATGTTAAACACACTTTCTAAAGGTTATTTAATATAGAAACTTATATACATGTGCAGAGGACGCTAAGGGGAGTTAGTAGAGTTTATAGAAGTCTGCTAAAAAAAGCTCCTTAAGCTCCTTTAAACTCTTAGTAACACGCAGCCTGCCTTTTTATTAGACAGAGCATTCTTTTATAATCTTAGGAAGCTGTGCTGCCTCTGTGTCCTCTAACTAGTCTGTAAGCGAGCCCTGCTCTAATCCAGCTAGATTGTGGAGCACTGCTAGTAGGGTTACGCTGGTCCAACTGTAGACTGTAACACGCTGCCCCCTC